GGACTTTCCAGCCTCTATAAATAATGAATATAGCTACATAGCCTCATATTTGAAATATGCTAAGTGTTACCTCGTCCTTCCCCACCAGATATTGAAGGCCACTTATTAAAATTATATCGATTGTAATTTAATTTTGCCACCAAACTACTTTAAAAGTTCTTGACATGATCTGAATGTTTATGTTGTGAAATGATGTTAAATCATTATCTTCATACTGGAAATTACTTGTTACTTGTCATAACAAACTTACAAAAATATTTTTTTTTTAAAAGCTCAGCTCTTTCAAAAAATGCAGTTTCCCAGCATGAAGTCTAGCCATCTCTTCCTGTATGGCTAGTCTTTATACATATCTCTGCGTCATTTCTGCTCTGTTCTCGTGATCCTTGAAAGCATTGCCGCTAGTTGCTATGGCAACGCTCCGCACGCAATGGATGCCGGAGCGTTGCCATGGCAACCGTTGGCAATGCTCTAGCGGATTGCAAGAACAGAGGACATGCTGCTGCTGGATGTGAAGCAAATATGGAGACTCCTGGGCCCCTCTTCACTGGGCAACCATACTGTGCCACCGGACCACCAGGGAATGTAGTGTGTGTCTCCTCCCTGGACACAGGTAAGAGTCAGGGAGGGGACACACACACACAAACAATACACATTGCTCACTATACACTCATTATACACACACACATACTGCATACACACTACACACAATACACACACTTATACCTGTGTGTCTTTGTATCTGAATGTGTGTCTGTGTATATGTATGTGTGTATGTGCCTATGTGTATCTGTACATGTGTGTCAGTGTGTGTGTCTGTGTGTTTGTATCTGTGTGTCTCTATCTGTATGTGTGTCAGTGTTTGTATCTGTGCATGACTGTGTTTCTATGTATCTGCATTTGTATACCTATGTGTCTGTGTATCTGTGTGTCTATGCATGTGTGCCAGTGTGTGTATATTTGAGTATATGTGCATATATCTCAGCATATTGCCAACACTACACATAAATACACCCTTGCATCTAAATATCAACACTACATAAAAACACACCACATATTCAAAAAACACACTACACAAAAATGCACGCCTGCATTCAAATGCCAACACTACATGCAAACACACCCCTACATTCACTCACACCAGGGCTGGCGCTACCATTAAGGCGAATAAGGCATTCGCCTAGGGCGCCGGCCTCTAGGGTTTCCCGGTGGGCTGCCCTGCTGTAGCTGTCCGGGGATGCTGTGCTGGACGAGCGGCTCTTTAGCCACCCCTCAGCGCAGCCACTCACCTGCTGGGCTCCCTCTGCAGCAGATTACCTGCTCGGGCAGTGGGGTTTGCTGTAACCCGAGCAGAGCACTGTGCTTCCTGCAGGCAGGGGGAGCCTGTGAACACCGGAAGCACTTTGAAGGGAGCAGGAAGTAGCCTGTGCTCAAAGTGCACGGCTCTCCTGCTCCCCAGGAGAAAGAGCAAGATCCTGGATCCTGCAGCCTGGACCTCTGCTCATCACAGCACCCAGGTATGGCATGGTTAATGGGGATTGCTTATTGTGTGCATGTTTGTAAATGGGGGAGTGTGTTAAATTGGTGTGTTTGTGTGTGTAAATAAAGTGTGACCTTATGTAAAGTTTGTGTTTGAGTGACAGTGTGTGTGTTAATGAGAGTGTGTAAGTGACTATCTGTGTGTGTGTTAGGGAGAGTGTGCAAGTGACACTGTGTGTGTGTGTGTGTGTGTGTGTGTGTGTGTGTGTGTGTGTGTGTGTGTTAGTGAGAATGTGCAAGTGACTCTGGGTGTGTGGGTTAGGGAGAGTGTACAAGTGACACTGTTAGTGAGTATGTGTTAGGGAGAGAGTGCAAGTGACAGTTAGTGAGAGTGTGCAAGTGACACTGTTAGTGAGCATGTGTGACACTGTGTGGTGTTAGTGAGTAACTAACAATGTGTATGCCAGTGAGAGTGTGTAAGTTAGAGTGTGTGTATAAGTGAGAGTATGTAGGTGACACTGTGTGTGTTAGTGAGAGTGTGTAAGTGACACTGTGTATGTTAGTGAGAGTGTGCAAGTGACAATGTGTAGGTCAGTGAGAATGTATATGTGTTAGTGTGTAAGTTAGAGTTAGAATGTGTAAGTGTGTATGCCAGTGAGAGAGTGTGTGTATTAGTGAGATTGTGTAAGTGACACTGCAAAGGTAATTATTGAAATTTTTAAGAAACTTCAATAATTACTGTTCAGGGTTAACTCCTCTAGTGACTATGCATGGGGACGTCCAGTTACGGAAATACCACTGCGAGCGCGGCCATTGAGGAGCTAAGGCGGACCCAAGCCAGCACAAAAGACATTGGTGCTGGACCCAGGTAAGTGACAGAAGGTGTTTTAACCCCTGCTGCACCACGAGGGGGGATGCGCTTGACGGAGGGGGAAGCTATAGTGCCAGGATAACAAGTTTTGTTTTCCTGTCACTATAGTTTCCCTTTAATATCTACTCAGTGCGCCTCTTTCCCTAAATGTCTCTTTAGTGTAATTCAGAGTTTAGTGAATAAACTTCTGAGGGAATGTACAGGGAGTGCAGAATTATTAGGCAAGTTGTATTTTTGAGGATTAATTTTATTATTGAACAACAACCATGTTCTCAATGAACCCAAAAAACGCATTAATATCAAAGCTGAATATTTTTGGAAGTAGTTTTTAGTTTGTTTTTAGTTATAGCTATGTTAGGGGGATATCTGTGTGTGCAGGTGACTATTACTGTGCATAATTATTAGGCAACTTAACAAAAACAAATATATACCCATTTCAATTATTTATTATTACCAGTGAAACCAATATAACATCTCAACATTGACAAATATACATTTCTGACATTCAAAAACAAAACAAAAACAAATCAGTGACCAATATAGCCACCTTTCTTTGCAAGGACACTCAAAAGCCTGCCATCCATGGATTCTGTCAATGTTTTGATCTGTTCACCATCAACATTGCGTGCAGCAGCAACCACAGCCTCCCAGACACTGTTCAGGTGTACTGTTTTCCCTCCTTGTAAATCTCACATTTGATGATGGACCACAGGTTCTCAATGGGGTTCAGATCAGGTGAACAAGGAGGCCATGTCATTAGATTTTCTTCTTTTATACCCTTTCTTGCCAGCCACGCTGTGGAGTACTTGGACGCGTGTGATGGAGCATTGTCCTGCATGAAAATCATGTTTTTCTTGAAGGATGCAGACTTCTTCCTGTACCACTGCTTGAAGAAGGTGTCTTCCAGGAACTGGCAGTAGACTGGGAGTTGAGCTTGACTCCATCCTCAACCCGAAAAGGCCCCACAAGCTCATCTTTGATGATACCAGCCCAAACCAGTACTCCACCTCCACCTTGCTGGCGTCTGAGTCGGACTGGAGCTCTCTGCCCTTTACCAATCCAGCCACGGGCCCATCCATCTGGCCCATCAAGACTCACTCTCATTTCATCAGTCCATAAAACCTTAGAAAAATCAGTCTTGAGATATTTCTTGGCCCAGTCTTGACGTTTCAGCTTGTGTGTCTTGTTCAGTGGTGGTCGTCTTTCAGCCTTTCTTACCTTGGCCATGTCTCTGAGTATTGCACACCTTGTGCTTTTGGGCACTCCAGTGATGTTGCAGCTCTGAAATATGGCCAAACTGGTGGCAAGTGGCATCGTGGCAGCTGCACGCTTGACTTTTCTCAGTTCATGGGCAGTTATTTTGCGCCTTGGTTTTTCCACATGCTTCTTGCGACCCTGTTGACTATTTTGAATGAAACGCTTGATTGTTCGATGATCACGCTTCAGAAGCTTTGCAATTTTAAGAGTGCTGCATCCCTCTGCAAGATATCTCACTATTTTTGACTTTTCTGAGCCTGTCAAGTCCTTCTTTTGACCCATTTTGCCAAAGGAAAGGAAGCTGCCTAATAATTATGCACACCTGATATAGGGTGTTGATGTCATTAGACCACACCCCCTTCTCATTACAGAGATGCACATCACCTAATATGCTTAATTGGTAGTAGGCTTTCGAGCCTATACAGCTTGGAGTAAGACAACATGCATAAAGAGGATGATGTGGTCAAAATACTCATTTGCCTAATAATTCTGCACTCCCTGTAGTTGCATTCATAAGGGGGTGTCAAAATGTATTCTTGCCTAGGGCAGCAAGAATCCTTGCACCGGCCCTGACTCACACATACAAAAACATTCAAACACAAAAACACTGCTCAAAGTTAAATACATTTTAAAAATAAATTTGTGGGTGTTTTTTTAAAATTGGGAGGGAGGAGGGCAAATATAAGATCCACCCCAGGTGCCAAATGCTCTAGGTACGCCCCTGTTGCTACTATGTTTGATTTACTATCGTAGGATATCGGGTGTTAGGGCGTTCGATGTGGACGGTTTATCTTTTTCACCGGAGGGTGTCTCTTTTTCGGTTTTGCGTTGTACGAAAACAAATTCTTCTTCATTTTTTTAAATCTGTTTTTTCCTTCTGCGTCCCTGTCTTTGCATGGTTAAAACTCTCCTTCACTATGTGTAAGTTACTGCTTCACTTCGTCACTTCCCTTCGGCACAATTACTCATATCTTATGTACAACCGCATGGGCCAGTCTCAGCGACAACCCTCGCTAGATGGCGGACATCGACTCTATGTTTGGAGCGCACTCCATATGTGGTGCAACGGCTATGCAAGCTTTTTCGTCAGGTGCTTCACTGTCGAACATTATGCGTTCTGCTGACTGGTCTCTGACTCTGACTGGCGAAGATACGTTTTGTATTTTTTATTTCTGTACTGCTTCTCATGCTCTTTTGCATAAGCATTAAAAATGCAAATATTAAGCCTCCTGTCATGTGGTAAAATTGTAGATTGTGCTAATGTTGTGTGCCTATAATCTTAATTTTAGTAATGACAGGAGGCGAATATTTCCCCCCCTTCTTCCTCTCCCTATACTGGTTTTATCTATTTTCTGTTTGTTTACATGTCCTACTACTGCTTACGCTAATTTTCCTAGCTGTTTGCAGGAAAACAGGGGGTACAAAATTCTATTATTATACAATTTCTGGTCCTGATATGAGTACGTTATTTTATACTCAATAATAGTATTGAAAAACAAGGTCATTTCGCTACCTTTCACTTCTTTCTGTTCTTTTCAGTGTGAAAATTGGCATTATACATTGGATCTACCCATCGCATTCTTGCTGTTTAAGTGTTCCTTGGGGTTACATTGGATCCAGATCGTTATTTGAGTTTCCTTGTTGGACTTGTTAATTGGACTTTTAGTTCGCGTCAAAGAAAGAGGGAGAGGCAAGCACCACAGAACTATATGTAGAAATGATTGTTAATTCTGATTGGTTTAAACTTTTGATTGATCTGTGCTGCTGGAGTTTAAAGTAAAGAAAGTTTATGGAAATATTTGCCTCCTGTCATTACTAAAATTAAGATTATAGGTACACTACGTTAGCATAACCTACAATTTATAAATGATAAATTATTATCCCACTCTGTTTCCTGCAAGAGCCTACAATATCCTAGCGTGTGTGATTAAAGTTTAATTACCAGAGCAGGAGCTAATAACTTCTATCATGGGAGCTGTAGTTCAAAATATCTGAGAAGACGCAGGCCTGCTCTATACAACAAGACTGCTTCATTAATGATGAGGACATTTAGTGTGTGGGACAACAGGCATGTTCAGTAGCATAACTACTGGGAGGGCCAACGGTGCAGCTGCCCCGGGTGCACAAATGGGGGAGGGGCCCTGTGAGGCTCAGCAAAATACTACAGCAGAGGCAGCATGTGACTTGATGTCCTCATGTTGAGCTCTGCCCCCGCCGTTGAGTGACATAGACAGTTTTGTTGCCCAACAGTAGTGATCACTCAGAGCCGAGCAGAAGGGCAGCAAACTTCTCTTGATTGATGTTGTCCTTCATTTGCGGAATTGCTGAAAGTTTACTTCTTCATTTAACGACACTTTTGACATAATTGCAGCAATTACACAAAATATTAAAGGGGCAATGTAGGCACCCAGACAACTTCAGCTAATTGAAGTAGTCTTGGTGCTGAGACCCTTTTGCACTTAGTGCTGCAATGTATCCTTGCCGGGGAGGTATTTAATAATGCTTTCCTATGAGGAGGTCTAATGCGCGTGTGGCCATTGCCGCGCATGCGCATTAGGTCTACCCTGCCGGCTGACGTTTTAACCCCTTCAGCCCTGCGGGAGAGGGCTTGCAAGAAGGGGGGCACTCCAGGAGCCTATAGTGCCAGGATAACAAGTTTGCTTTCCTGGTACTATAGAATCCCTTTAACTTTAGCTGAGCCTGAAGTTGCTGGATAAGACCTGTTACATTACATATGATAATTTTGTTAGTTTGAAGTAATTTTTTTAGAAGTTTTGAAAAGCATTTTAATTTTAGTTTGCTAAAGCCTTCTGGCAGCCTCAAGACTCCCGGAAGGACGCTTAGATCTTTGGTTTGAATGTTCATCTCTTCCTAAGACATTCATAAATCTGTCATCAGGTATTTTGTTTCTATTGCATTAAGAAGTGTCTATTATTAAGAAGAAAAATAATGCACTTTATCAACGAATACAATAGTCTTTACATGTTAAATTTGCCTTACAACCAGAGGGACAGGGTGGATGGGGGCTATGGGGTGGTAAACAGGGTGTACAAAATTCTGTTCTGACCATAACTCTACTGGGCATGATCCACCACTATAATGTCTCTTATAAAAAATCTGTAGGTGTAAGCATACGTTAAAACATAGTAAATGTATTAAATAAAACTAGGTTCATGAACCTAAAACCACAAAGCATGACCATGAATTCAATACCAACGCGTTTTGCTATAGCAGTTTTATGAAAGGGTGGCTGTTTTGATCTGAAAGGTGTCCTTGCATACATTCTCACTTCAGCTTCCTCCATTGAGCAAAGTCTTGCTTCACATGATTCTCTGTATGTCTTTTGAAATCTCACAGTTTGTCTTGTGATGTAGGATGTCATCTGAAAATTAGCATATTACCAATGGAGTAAATGTGGCAATAGTGAAGACTGAAAGAAGGTCTACAATTACAATAATCACAAATAACACAATACTGATAGGCAAAACAAAGCTTGAATTTTAGCGGGTAATACATCATACATAGAATAAACTTATCTAATTAACGGACAATATATAGGTTATAACAAATGCATATATAAAGGTGCTTATATAAAGATATTGGTGAGGTTACATTAAAGAGTTACTGCAAGCATCCTGTAGTGGTTATCAGGCCCAGAATGGCCATCGGGCAAACCGGGCAAATGCCCAGTGGGCCGCGATGGCCATGGCTGAGGCTGGCAGGGAAGATCACACAGATCCTCTGCCCGCTCATGCAGGGCCGGTGCTAAAGGAGTGCCGGCACAGCTGTGTGCCTTCCTGGGCCGATGGGGAGATGAAAGATCTCCCTCACCGGCCTACAGGCACTTTACTGGACAGCCAGCTGGGGAGGGTGGAAGAGTGCGGAGAACCCAGGAGAGCTCTATCTTGTAGCTCCAACAGGATCCTCTCGCTAGGTTGGAGCGCTACCGTGGTTACCATGGCAATGCTCCAATCTCACAACAATGAACTCCAGGAGTTCACCTCACCACTATGACCACCAGGGATTCAAGGTATTCACCTCTATGTCCCCCCTCCCAGGCAAAGGTAAGAAGGGCGGGGGGATATAAAGTATAGATTATAATTTTTTTTTAATAAAATTAAAAAACCAACATATTTTTATATTACTTTCATCTTCCCCCCACTGCACTGTCTCTGTCAGTGAGTGTGTCAGTGTGTATGTGAGTATGTGTGTGTCTGTCAGTGTGTGTGTGTGTGTCAATGAGTATGTGTGTGTCTGTCAGTGTGTGTGTGTGTGTCAGTGAGTATGTGTGTGTCTTTCTGTGTGTGTGTGTCTGTCTGTCAGTGAATGTGTGTGTGTCAGCAAGTATGTGTGTGTCTGTCAGTGAGTATGTGAGTGTGTGTCTGTCAGTGTGTGTCTGTGAGTATGTGTGTGTGTCTGTCAGTGAGTGTCTGTGAATATGTGTGTGTGTCTGTCAGTGAGTATGTGTGTCTGTCAATGAGTATGTGTGTGTCTGTCAGTGTGTGTGTGTGTGTATCAGTGTGTCTGTCAGTGAGTATGTGTGTGTCTGTCAGTGAGTATGTCTGTGTGTCTGTCTGTCAGTGAGTGTGTCAGTGTGTCTGTATGTGTGTTGTCTGTATGTGTGTGTCAGCAGAACACATGCATATTTGGCACAGGGTGGTTGAGGGGGGTGCTGTGGTTTAGTAGAGGGGGGGACTGGGATTTAGTAGAGGGGGATGGTGGGGGTGAGGGGGTTTATACTGTACTTTGTAAAATAAACCTACTTTTCTATGAAAATTTAAGGTTGTGGGGTTTTTTTTGCGGCCCACATAAACTTAAACCTTGTTTATGTGGCCCATGCCAGACTTTGAGTTTGACATGCTTGCACTACACCATTCACACACTGCACCCTTCTTATACACACACACACACACACACACTACACTCTTCACACAGACACACGCACACTGCATCTTTCATAAACACACTGCACCCTTCATACATACTGCACCCTTCTTACACACACACACACACTACACTCTTCACACAGACACACACACACTGCACCTTTCATAAATGCCCTGCGCCCTTCATACATACTGCACCTTTCACACATACACAGACACACACTACACCCCTCACACACACACACACACTATAGCTTTCACACACACTGCACTCTATAGCTTCTACCCCAACTGCACACCAAACACACACACACACAAACTAACTACACCCTTCACACACTACACTCCTCACACACTGCACCCTTCATCCACACACACACACACACACACTGTAGCCTTCACACAGACACACACATACACACTTCACCATTCATACACACTGCACCTTTCATACACACTGCACCCATCAGCACCCCTCTCACACACACACACTGCAGTCTTCACACACAATGCACCCCTCACACACACACACTGCAAACCTCACACACACAAACACACACACACACACACATTGCACTCCTCATACACAGGCACTGCACCTCACACACACTGCACCCTTCAAGAGCATTGAACCAACATGCTCACTTTGAGAGGTGGCATGCTTGTCATTGGTGATGACAAAACACCCCTCTGGCCCCACATCCTTCTCAGTGGGCCACTGTGACTCAAAAAAATGTATTTCCCAGTCTGGCTCTGGTGGTTTTGGTGCCTGGTAATGGGACAAACTTTTTAGCAACAATTTGCCCTCTTACTTAAGTCCATGCCGGACGCCGATACTTCTTTTAGGTGTCATTCATTGGCTGAAAGCATCAGAGTTACACCTCCTGCAACAAAGGGTTAAACTGTATTTCGAGCATGTCAAACATGAATAACTTTGCGGCCCGCCTACCCTGGGTCCACTTCATGCTGTGGCTGCGACCAGCTGCAAGACAAGAAAGATATTTCCTGTCTGATTCTTGTCTTCCCTCCCACGGCCGCAAGAGCGCAGAGAAGCTGTCTGTCTGCAGAGTAGGCCATCCTCCCCCCTTCCATCTTGCTTGCATGCCAGAGTAATATCTGGCCTGCTTAAAGGACCACTATAGTGCCAGGAAAACAAACTCGTTTTCCTAGCACTATAGTGCCCTGAGGGTGCCCTCACCCTCAGGGTGCCACTCCCGTGGCGCTGAGGGGGGAGGAAGGGGTTAATCCCTTACCTTTTTTCCAGCGCCGGACTCCCTCGGCACTGGGACTCTCCTCCCTCTTCTGACGTCCCTGGCTGAATGCGCAGGCGCAAGAGCCACGCGCGCATTCAGCCAGTCTCAGGAAAGCATTCTCAGTGAGACAGCCACTAGAGGCTGGATTAACCCATAGGTAAACATAGCAGTTTCTCTGAAACTGCTATGTTTAAAGCAAAAAGGGTTAAACCTAGCTGGACCTGGCACCCAGACCACTTCATTAAGCTGAAGTGGTCTGGGTGCCTATAGTGGTCCTTTAAACAGAGCAAAGCTGGAATTGGAGGATGGGCTGCTCATCTTAAGGTTTTGTGGCTTGGGGGACCTTCATGTGTAGTGTGTTAAATTGGGCAGGGGGGCCAGTGTATTAATATGGGGGAGGGAGTTGGCAGTGTTTTCATTTGGAAAAGGGAAGGGGCGAGTGTATTAAATTGGGTTGGGGGTAGTGTATTAATTTGAGGGAGGGAGGGCACAGTGTATTAATTTGAGGGGGGAGGGCAGTGTATTAAACTAAGGGGGCAGTATTAATTTGGGGTGGG